TGTTCTTTACAAGTCTTGCTGTTATGTCCCCTTTGTTTACATAATTTGCATTTATATTGAGTTTTAACACTAGGTTGCTCTAAGGAACTTTTAACCCTCTTGGATTTGAGACGACCCTTTGGCCTTCATTCAACTGAATTTTGAACACTCATAATATCAATATTACCACCATGATTAATACCACTATTATTGCCATTGCCATTATTGCTATTACCAATAATTCTTTATTGTGATTTTGTTTGTAACAATAAAAAGACTTCAAGAAGTTTATGATAATTATCCTCATTATCATCTTCAATTATATCAACCATTACCTTCCTTCCCAATCTCCAAAATTCGCTGAATTTACATTTCTTTGAGATAGTTTTAGACTTCTTATTATTATCTACAATGGTAGTAAGCCCAACATCAAACCCATTTGATGAATATAAAAATCACGTTGGTAAAGAATTTGCTTTTAATATTGATATATTAAAGGGAGAGACTGAAACGAATGCATTATTTGATATATCGAATTCTTGTAATGTATCTTTATACCAATGTCGATTAATAAGTCCAATATGAAATCTTGCGGTAGGAGTAAGGGTCATTATATGATAAAAATGATGATATAGATAGCTATGGGTTTTATTAATCATACATGTACAAAGAAAAGTCCCATCGTTTAAAAGATATATGAAATGTGATGTCTTTGAATTCATTATATAAAAAATCTCCCAAATTTTGAGAATAATCGAAGTATCCTTCAAAAATAAACCCAATTATATTTGTGAACAATCAAATAGATTTTTGATATACTAGTCAGATTCATCAAATACCTAAATTTTAGTTTAGAAACTTATTTTAATTTTGTAAGTGAAACCTTACCTCCAAGGCCAATTAGGTCAGAAATATGATAATGAACAATTTGTCATAATCAAAAGATAATATATTACCTTCTCTTTAAAGAATACAACTTCAGGCTCAACCTCCGTAGCATGATAATAAAGGCTTAGATTCATTTGTTCTTTTTGTTTTTTCATAATATTTGGCATTACAAATTCCTTTAATTGTTGTACTACTGGTTCAAAAATAGTTTTTGCTGTATTTTGAGATCCTACTTATGGCATCGTTTGTTTCCAGTTTATAAACTCGCAATAGTCACTTTCTTCTTGGTATCTTTCCTCCATTGCGTTAAATAATTCACATAATGAAGGTTTGCACTTCTGAAAAGCTGCTTTAACGTTGAATTTTTGCCTTCATTACGAGAAGTGGACTGTGCCTCAGCAGTAAAATGTTGATTCGTAAATGCACGTATCCATGATTGAGGATAAAGCTCTGCATAAGCCAGCTTGGCTTGGATTGCCACTGGCTCGAGCTGAGCCATTTTTTTTTGACTCGGCTCAGCTCGGCTCATGGAGATTAATTAACAAGCCAAGCCAAGCCAATGCGGCTTACAAGCTGGCTCATTCGGCTTGCATTAATATTTAGAAGTGAAAAACTGTCGATAGAAACGTTTCTCATAAAGAGAAACGTTCCCAGAATGATTCCCTTCGAGAGGAACATTTTCGGAATGATTCCCTTCGAGAGAATTGTTTTCAGAGCGAATCCCATAAAGGTTTTCCCTTCTAGAGTGATTTTCTTGAAGGATTTTACTTCCAGAACGATTTCCTTGAAGGATTTCGCTTCCAAAACGATTTCCTTGAAAGATTTTACTTCTGGAACGATTTTCTTGAAGGATTTCACTTCCAGAGCGATTTTCTTTAAGAAAATGCCCTGGATGCAATTTTCTTCAAAGAAAACGTCACTGAGGCCGTTTTTCTTCAAAGGAAACATTACCTGGACCGTTTTTATTAAAAGAAAATGTTACTAGAGCCATTTTTCTTCAAAGGAAATGTTATTGGAACCATTTTTATTAAAAGAAAATGTTATCGGGGCTGTTTTTCTTCAAAGAAAAACTGCCTTTAGAATTATTTTCTTCAAAGAAGAAAATACAAGCCAATGAGCTGAGCTGCAGCATGAGCTAAGCCACGGCATAAGCTGGCTTATCTGGCTCACGGCTCATTTTATAGTGGCTCGAGCTAAGCCTAAATGAGCTAGCTCGTTTGGCTTTCAAGTGGCTCAGCTTATGCAGAGCTCTAATTGAGAATTGTTTCCTAAAGACCGCATAAAATAATCTTTTACCTTTTGGTAATTTTACAATAATATCTCCCATCTCTCGTTAAATTGAGTTTTTGTTAAACTGTTTCTTATCTTAAAAAAGTCTTTCATAAAGTTACTAAAACTTGAACCAAGTTCCCCTTTTAATCTTTTAGGTAAATTCTGACTTATGTGCCATATATAATGTATATGATAAGCACTAGAGAATTCTGTTAAAACTGCACCTTCAACTGCTAGATCACCATTTGTAATAAATACTTTCAGGGATACACCAGTTGCGTCTTTTACACATTGAAAGACCCACTCATATGAAAGTTAACTTTCATTGTCAACAATCGCTTAGGCCACAATTCTTGTTTTCAAATTATTGTCGGGGGTGACAAAGAGGGACAGTAGATGATTATGGTGATTGATTTTGCAGGTATTATCATGCATTATTACATTATAGTAGCGCAACCATAAAATGTGTTGTTCAGGGCTCATCCAAAAAAGATGAGTTAACGAGGAAGTGACCAGATCAAGCTTTATTAAAATTATCCAACATGGGTCTTCTGTCTTTTTGTCATATAATCTTCTTAGTAAAATCCCAGTGTCTACTTTACCTAGTGTCATTTCACAATGAAACTTGCTAATAGCATTATATAAATCTTATCGAATTATTTTAATATTAAACTTTTCCCTAATAATTCAATACTGAATTGTTGCATTTACTTTGGCAACAATGGTTAAAAAATGAATCTCTTAAATGACTTTCTCTGGTAATTTGCGTAATAATAGAACAAATCGAACTGCTAATGAATGAAATTCATGACCAATATACTGATCATGCAAAGTCGTAACTTCCAAGTGGCCTTTGCTTTTTTTGTTCCAAATATTTACTTTCCATGAGCACTCAACTCTACACGATGATGCATTTAAACACCAATTTTCTGTAAATGCTGTCCAATTAGAATTTGCTTTTCCAGAATGTTGACACAAATAAGTTCATTTTAATACTTCTTTTGTTACTTTATCTATCCTCTCACCGCCGCCAATTCGTATTCCATGACCCTTGATAGCAGCGTACTTTTTCATAAATTTTGAAGTATGATTCCAATTTTGGAAAACTTTGCCAACAAAAAGTTTCGCATCCTCTTCTGTATCTGCTTCTGTATCCACAATGTTAGCTTGGTATCTGTAAACTTAAACGATAAACTTTTAATTCAATCTGTTGAATTAAATACAAAACAATATCACAATTATGCCTATATGAAGACACGACAAAAGGCAATAGTAAATGAATTTAACGATTCCTTTATTGAACTTTTGGTTTATCCTAAAACCTCAACTTGGGTTACTTTTCAACTTAAGGAAAAATACAAGATATTTATATAAAATAAAATAATATAAAATCAACTATAATAAATATAACAAAGAGAACAAATAGTATAACTATGATAAATATAATATATATAATAAATATGATATAACTAACAAATATAATAAATATAATTCATCTATCTAATATGTCAACTTGATCAATGTTGACAACTTTAGCAACTCTGTCAACTTCGTCAACTATGTCGATCATTTAGATCACATGACTTAATTTTAGCATAGTCACAGATCACAGCTTCAATCCTCCCCTTCTAAATTTTGAGCTCCTGCCTAAATATCCATAGCTTCGTTTACTAGAGACCAGTATACGTTACTTAGGAGTTGATAAAGATTCTTCAACGATATATGTTTCAATTGTTGAATTTGATTTACATCTAGCATTTCATAAAGGTAGTAAATACGTATTGAAACAAAATTATAATATTTAGTGACAAGTTCTCTCAATTGGCTTCGTTGTGCTGGTGAAGAAGTTTCTATTTCTAGAAGTATTCCCAGGTAATAAGCATTTATCAATGAAAGAGTTCGGTCTTTTATTCGTAAAGCTCTTAATAACATTCGATATGTTAGTTGTAATTTCTTTGTAGTTCTATTCCATTTGAATACGGAGAAATAGCAGGAGTTAATTCTTCAGGCAGAGTTTCATTCAAATCTTCGATATAAAGTTGTTCCATAATAGAAATAAAGATAAAAATAAAATAAAAAAAAAATAAAAAGAAAAATCTAAATTTAAAAAGGGGGATCTTTATATAACTTTAAAAGATTTCCATTTATTAGATTACGAAGTACACGACCATCTAATTCTCTTATCTTGTAAGAGCCATTTAATAAGATTTAATGGATATAATAGGGACCTTTCTAATTTTGGTCCAATTTTCCAGAATGGGTTTTATCTTTTGCAGCTTCGAAGTACAAAACCTTATTGCCAATTTTATGTGAAACAGAGATCTTTATATTTTTGTCATGGTACTTTTGTTGTTATTGTGCAAGTTGTATTCGTACTTTTGCATCTAGTCGTACTAAGGGTAATTTGTTGATTAAAGTGTCAATTCTTTCCTGAATAGTAAAATTCTAGTTAGTATAAAGGTCATTAGGATCATCAGGATTATTAATGGGTAACGTTGCATTTCATCCATATACTAAATAAAAAGGTTCAATTTTTGTAGCTGATTGTTTGCTTGTGCAATAAGCAAATAGAACAGAAGAAATATATTGGTCCTATACCGTAGATCTTTTAGCCAATTTTGCTAATGATTTACATAGAGTTCTATTGAATTTTTCTACTAATCCATTCGTTCTAGGGTGATAAGGAGTGGATAAATTATGGCAAATATGAAATTATTCCATTAATTCTGTGACTAATTGATTATTAAAATGAAATCCCCTATCTGATAGGATCTTAGTTGGACATCCATGTCGGCAAATAATATCCTCATATAAGAACTTGATGATACTTTTAGCAGTGTTATCTCTAACTGCTTTAACTTCTGACCATTTTGTTAAATAGTTAATAGCAACAATGATATATTTATTTCTTCTACTAGTTCGTGGTAAAGGTCCAACAAAATCTATTCCAATTCTATAAAATGGTGAATTAACTGGAATAGGATGTAATTCATTTTTCATTTTAGGCCTTTCTCGTCGTTGGCAAGCATCACATAATTGAACATATTTTCTGATACTTTCATACATTTGAGGCTAATAATATCTAATACGAACTTTATTAAACATAATGTCGGTAGAAAAATGTCTAGCTGTTGGATCATTATGCATTATGTAAAGGATTGCATCTAATTCAGTCTCTTTGATAACTCTTAAAAACTGTTTAGAGGCATTTCTTTGTCTTTGCTTCTTGTATAAGAAATCGAGTCGAACTGTATAAAATTTCGATTGTCTTTTTAATTTTGCAATTTCATTTGTGTTAAAAGATGTAGGTAATTAATTTAAGGTTATATAAACAAATAAATTATTATATTGATTGGGTTCCATGATGTCTGAGCTGCCTATTATAATGTAGACACTTTCACTTTCACTCTAAATAATTTTTACTAATAAAATAAATATGGGTATGAAATGAAATATTTAAATGTGGAAAACAAGAAGACGTCAAGGGTTTTCAAACATATAATAGAGTTGAGAATAGAGGTTTTCTTGTTGAACTAAAATTGGTTCATCTCACCAAAGGTCATTAGTTAAATAGTTAGGGTTCATATCCAGTTGGATTTATTCTAGACCAAATCCAATGATACAATGATGTTCAAGTGTTCCATATGGCAAATTTCTCTTACAGGCTTTGCAATATGTATAGATATGATGGTTTTCGATGTCACAACTATAATTACATTGTGATCCTCCTTTAGTTATTGGTTGATTAGCTATAACTTGCTTAATCTTGATATTTTCTTTAAAAATATCTTCCAATTCATTCTTAGAACATTGATATCCTTTAGTGATTAAGGGTACATAAGAGTATTATGATATTAATTCTTCCTCTAAATTTATTTCTTCTTGTGATCATCCTGATGACGTTTTACTATTTGCAGAAGAAATATACCATTCTATTTCTTCATCATTTTCATTTGTTGTAAGTATAAAGATTTCTTTTGAGGAATTGTCTTGTTCTTTTTCAGAGATTAATCGAGATAATGCGTCAGCGTTAGCATTATTTTTCCCAGGTCTATGTTGGATATTAAAGTCATATTGTTGTAATTCTATTATCCATTGTGCACATCGACCTTTTGGTATTTTTGAAGTCCTCAATTATTTAAGGGCAGAGTGATCAGTTACGACGGTAAAGGGTTTAGAGCTAAAATAGTGATGAAAATTTCTAATAGTCAAACTACTGCTAAACATTCTTAATCTGTAATTGGGTAGTTTTGCTCAGCTTTGTTCATGCTTTTGCTTGCATATGCAATAACATGTTCATTTTTATTTT